TGTGCTTTTAACTGACTGGTAAATTAGGTTTGGATCAAGAAATCTGTCCTTAGAGCATATTTTGAGTTTATTAAAAAACATTATCTTTTTTTCTGAAGTCACATTAAGCTAGAAATACAAGCAGCTGAATGATCAAACATGTACATTGGCACAAGAAAATGATTAAACCATTAGCCCACGTGTTCCTCATAGTTCACACATCAACGTCCCACTCCAACTTTGAGCTTGTCTTCTTACAGCAGTCGTGTTCTCTCAGCCTTCCTTTGCAATTACCATTATTTTACTTGCAAATAAAGTCCATTACATATATTTTACTCTCCACTTGTGTAGGGTTGGGGCCAGCTGTGATAGGGTGAGAGGCAAGGTACACCTTAGTTAGGTCATCAGACCCATCACAGGGCTAACAAATGAGGTGGTTAAGATAATCTGACTAAACTGCCGGCTCACTTACAGCCTAGCTCCTCATGTTTCTCGTACCATCTGACCTCGCTGTATTGAAGTGATCGTGCAATGTTGTATATTTCAACAATGAACAAAACTATTAAAGTAAGACCTGGGTTCTAATAAACCAGAACGATAAAAAGGTCAAATTGATCCTTCAAGCTTGCCCAATAAATAACTAAATCATGGCTGTTCCACACCCCAAAACAACAACATTCATATGAGTGAATATGAATCCTTAATACAGTAGAAAGAGCTGGCTGACCCTAAAACAAGTGTACACCCTGTTTGCTGCTGCAAAGATGTCCACTCGGTCAAACACTCTATCAGTACAGTGTAATGCTGTGTATTACCCGCTGACCAAGTGTCGTGTACCCTTTTCCTGACAGGTGTCAAATGCAAACCTGGAGGTGGTTCGCCTGTTCATCCGCATCATGTCTCTCTTCACAATGATTTTCCTGCTGTGCCACTGGAACGGATGCATCCAGTATTTTGTGCCTATGCTGGAGGAGTTTCCCAACGACTGCTGGGTCCGCAAAGAAAACCTGATGGTGAAGCTCATTTTACACATCAGTGCTTACTGAGATGTTTTGTAGCTCTCGCTTTGTCTTCAATGTAGACAATTAAGGACTGTAAAAATGCAATAATGAGAAAAAGAGAAAAAAAATTAACAATGTTAACCTAGAAGCCTGTCTTACGATGATAAATAATAGACAATAATGATTGAACCTTTCCTTTCAGAATGCCACGGTCATCGTTAAGTACTCATGGGGTGTTTTCCGAGCTCTCTCCCAGATGATTGCTCTCTCTTATGGCTCTATGGACGCTCCAACAAGTTAGGAGTTTAAGTTTTCTTTCTCTGCCACTTTAAAAAGCAAATATGATCTATATTCTCCCTCAGATGTGAACACTCAACTGCACTGGCATGTCTTTGTTTTGTTCTCTAGATTATGTTGAAATGTGGATCGTCATGGTCAGCATGGTGTCCGGATGTCTGATGTACACCGTCCTCGTGGCCAATGCGACAGCCATGATCGCCAACCTTGACCCAGCGGCCAAGGAGTACAAGAGCAAGGTCTTCATGGGTGACACTTATACTCCTTAAACAGCAAGTACAGTGTAGAAATAAACAGGTTAAACCGACTAAAAACGGGGGGGAAGCACTGCACAGTATATACGTTCTGCTTGGCTAAGATGCCCTAAGCAACTAAAGCCATGATTTAGTTCCTGGCTCACCAAACCTTTGTCATTCCTCTACTTTCTGTCAATTCTACCTGAATTCTATCGGAAATAATAGAAATTAGCAGTAGTGAAAATATATTGAGTTCCTTTCAACATATGTAATTTCTAAATGAATTTTTTCCTGATTAATTTAGACTTTTTGTAGTTAGATTGAACTTTTATTGACAAGTAATCACTTATCGTTATTCTGAATTCAATTGTTCAAGTAATATATTTAAAACTTATGATATAATCTATACATGGTAATCTAATGTAATATATTCTATCCATCTTCAACAGATGAGCCGTTTGGAGCACTACATGGCCTTCATGAAGCTCCCTCCAGAGTTGCAGCTTCGCATCAACAACTACTACCAGGCTCGCTATGGAGGGAAGTGGTTTGATGAGAAGGACGTCATGGACACCGTGTCCTCAGCACTCAAAGAGGTATAGATGGGGTTATTGCTAATCTCCAAACTGGCTGAGATTGATTTGTTTTGGTTGATCTCATATTGATATCTATATGAGATGTCATCCTCATACATACAGATTCACAGTTATGCTTTTGTGTATCTTGGTCACATTCACTCAGTGTACATAAATATCTGTTTTTCATTCATTCTTTAATCTTGCCTGAACTGAGTGTGATTTGTTGTTTCTTAGCTCACGTCTATCTTCATTTGTCATACCAAGCTTTGTGTTTGTTCATTTGTGTGTATTTTTCAGCAAATTGTGACAGTGATGTGCAGCCGGCTGCTGAGAAACGTGCCGATGTTTCAGAACAGAGATCAAAGCTTTATCAACACCGTCCTCCTCAAACTGCAGTACGAGGTTTTCCAGGAAGGAGACATCATCGTCCGACAGAATGTCCCGGGCGACCGCATGTTCTTCATCGATCATGGCCAGGTCCTTGTGGAGACCGATTCCTATGAAAGGGAACTGTGTGATGGAGACTTCTTTGGAGGTGAGTTGGATTTACTCAAATATAGTTGCTGCCGGTGTCTAATAATAATTCATGAGCTCTAAGACAGGCCTTGCAAAACAATAAAAAAAATAACTGGTGATGGTTAGGGGTTCAATTTTAGGCATGTGTCATGTGTTTAATTTGAAAAGTTTCCAAATTATTTCCTCTGCAGAATATTTATTATTTGTTTGTTTTTTTGTTGCCATTTGTGTTTTAGAAGAACAGTGTTGAACCAAAGTGATTAAATCTTCTCCTTTTTTGCCAATTTGGCTGACTTCTTTAATTCTCCATCATTACATGTGCACACTTCCAAATCTTTTTGGCAGCAGATCTCTGCGACGTTTAAAGCTTAGCAGGCCTCCCTCGGACAACTCAGCTTTAATTTAGGATTAATTGTCAGATCTCATCCCCGTCATGAGATTTTATTTGCTCATTAACCACAGTCTTACGGACCCTTCTGTGTGTACAGAGACATGTGTGCTGAACAAGGGCAAACATCTGGCCACAGTGAAAGCACTGACCGACTGCCAGTGTTTCTCTCTGTCCTGGGACGACTTTCAGGATGCGCTGGAGGGCTTCCCAGATGTCAGGAAGGACTTGGAAAAAATGGCTCTGCTCAACTCTGATGGTGGACTCGTGTAAGAACAAAAACAGCACTTGGAATTACAGTATTACCTAAAAGGACGACGCGTTTCTTGGGCATTTTAGGTAGTTGCGCCATGGACCATGAGACTCACCCACATGGACACCAGTTGGACTCTTATTCAAGGACATTATGGAAAGTTTTAAAGTCTTTCAATCTAGGAATTATTATGTCTGCTGATCCAACAGTTATCAGTAATAAACAACAGTAAACATGGTGAAGGATTTGATCTCAGCCACCTTCTTCTCCGTATCCCAGTAATGAAGCTTATCCTGGTTTAGTGTTTACATGGAACACAGAGAAATCTGGTCATTCACATCCTTATGGTCATAGGAAATACTTATCATTAATTCATCTTTGCTGTAGGCTGTATGCACATGTGCCTGCTAGCCTTTCACCCTTCCACTATCTTTTTCATTTTGAAAGACAACACTTACGCTATATAAACTAGCCATTTTTGTTGCTAGGCAAATCGTTTCTGTTACGTCAGCTGTATAGGTAAGCAGCAACAAGAAACTGGGCACTCCGGCTATTCTAGGATTTCTCTAGACTGGGGTAAGTTCTTAGACAGGTTATGGAAATAAACAGGATTTTACATTCATACTAAAATACTCAGTCAGTGCATATTATTTGTGGCAAAAGAATAAAAATTTGGTCAAATGTAAGCAATAAGGAGAGCAGTAGTTTTACACTAATTTGGCTGTTGGAGGAACTTATTTATGCAAAAGGCATACAGTAAAATTATTGCCAATTTTTTCAAATAGTTATCACAGTTAGGGACTGTTGTGGAGGGCTACACCAATAATAACAAATAATTAGTGCGGCCATCTGGAACAGTCCGTATCTCATGTGGTCCCTTGGAAAAATGAAATGCCCACCACTGGTTTAGACCAGCTGTTTTATCTTTGATCTACCTGTGAGTGCTCCTGTTCATGATGGATGTTTTGCCTCAAAACAGTCGTAGTGTGGCTAATCGTGAATATGCACTTTTGACTGTCTGATTTCTTGGGTTCTTAACCTCTTTGAACTTTTTATTCCCAGATCTCAGCAATTACATTTACTGCCATGTTAACAGCTCTGCACTGTGCACAGTAAAGACACTAACTTTTGGTTGATGAAATGTTGAGTTTCTCAGGTATTTGGCTTTAAACTATTAGACAAAGAGAAATTTTGGTCTTGTGCTCCTCAGGTGACCATAGTAATAAAAATCTTCATGCAGTCCAGCTCAGATTTTCTTTAAATATTTTAAAATGATGAGCTAAAAAATTATGATCACCTCTCTAATATGCTCCGCCCTGTGGTTATCTGGCACTTTGTGGCAGATCCTCAAAGTCCTGTGAGTTGCAAGGCGGCGCCAACGTGAATCCAAAAACGTTCCCTCAAACCTATTGTCACCAGGTGACAATAGGTTTGAGGGAAGTTGTTACTAAAGTGTTCCGACCCAGTTGTCTGGCCATCGTGATAAAAATCTGGTCCTAGTCACAGACTCTCAGGTCTACACATGCAACTTTTCTCCCACATTCAACAAAATGACTGTGAGATCACTTATTGTCTAATATAGCTCAGAGAATCATTTCATCTGTGATTGGTTGTAATGTTTTAGCTCATCTGTGTGGATAAGACCCAAGTTTTAATAAACTGGACTTTAGCCATAAAGCAAGGCAAATACTCGTGCATGTTGTTTTTCTCTAAAATAATATTTATTTAGAGGCAATAGTACACAAGATATCCACCAACAAATCTAAAGCTGATAGTGTAGCAGAATTATGAAACATGTGCATGAGACCAGCAGACGATCTCTCTTTCATCCAAACACACACACGGTGCCTGAGGCCAGCCGGTGTTTGTACTCATAGAGGTAGTAGGAGGCTTGAGGGAAGTTGCATTTCATCTCCATCCTGCCCGGAACAACATGGACGGCCACACCAGATCCCAACCCCTCCTGCAGCTTCTTTAGCATGCGGGAAGCCAGGTAGCGCCTAGCCCTGCCTGGGTCTTCTTCTATGGAAGCGTACACCTCAGGTGGTGGGTTGGGGATCTTCCATTCCAAATCCACGATGAGCTGGTGGATGCGGCTTTTATCCAGTGTAGTGGGTGTGTCCCGGTAGCACGCCACCACATGGGGGATAGGAGCTTCAGATGCCACGGAGAGCAAATTGCCAGGCTGTCGTTCTGTCGCTTCACCTTCATTTTCTCCTCCTTCCTCCTCCTCCTCCTCCTTGGGTCCCACAGCGGGGTGGAGCATCACCGCCCAGCGCAGCCAATCGTAATTCTTCTCCAGGGTTTTCAGGATGCTCCCTGCCGCCTCGTCTGGGGGCAATCGGTTGTGGACGGCCTCCTGCAGCTGCTGCCGTATATCCTCTTCCGCCTGCTCCAGGAAGTAGCCTAAGCAGCGACCTCCCGTGTTCTTCATTTTCCTGTACAGGGCGCCCATACGGTCAGACCAGCTCTTGATAAGCAGAGCCTGGTCTCTTCCTGTTAGGGAAGCTTGAGTGAAGAGGCAGAGCAGACCAGTGCCCAGGACAAAATTTATCTGTCAGAAGAAAGAGGAGAAAAAGAACGTGAACATGTGAAAGTGTCCATGACCCATAAATCCTTTAGCCAGCATTTTAGTCTGAGAAAGTGGAACCACAGGAACAAAACAGCTCTTTAATAAACATGCTTTTTGCCTTTAAATGGTGTAAATACACCTCACCCTAACACTGTATGTTGAAAAAAATGACAATGCACATGACAAACTGACTGTTCTCCTGTGACCCAGTCACCTTTCTGAGTAACAGCTGTAATTCATAATAAAATCACTGCTCGCAAGGCTTTAACAAACCTGACCTTTATGAGTCAAAAAAGCACTATCTGGATATCCAGTGTTAGTCAGGCTCCTTTAGTGACAACACAGAGGGTTCTTATAATAATAATATTAATAATAATCAAAGCATTATTATTTCAGGTTTGGGTAATTATCTTATGTAGATGTAAGATTTTGTCTGGTTTAAGACAAAATGACATCGCCTTGGTTCTTGTTTCAGCACCAGAAGCATAATCACAGCAGATTACGTTATCACCTAAAATATGTTTATCTATGATAAGTTCTTCAAGGTTAAAGAAACTTGGCTGTAGTTTCTTTGATTAGCAAGGTCGGGCTCTTCAGGCTTGACCACATGATTTGCAGCCATGACTTTGATTACTATAGTTGGTTCAAAATGTCCTTCTCTCAAAGTAAACCCTGCAGCTATATACACTGTGTGCAAAATAAGCTCCGTTTTCTCATTTTTATTTAAACCACACCATGAAGGCACATTTTGCAACTATCATTTCACATCAGTTAGCTCGCCGTGTTTTTATATAAGTGCACTTGTGCAAATCAGTCCTTGAAAAGAGAAACGTGCAAACAAATTTACTCATTCAGAAGCAGAAGCTGCTTCAGCATTAAGGCTAATCCACACTTAAGCCCTTTAATAAGTGGACTCTGGACTGATTTGACTTTCTTGGATGGAAACTCTTCTCTTCACTGCGGTGATGACTGAAGAAAACAACTGTTCTAAACGGACAAGCAGCGCAAAGTGTGCACACTTCCTTTAACACCGTCTTACATTTTGTTTATAACAAGGAGGTCAGTGCTGACCCCACACAGCCAATTATGGTTTAAAGATAATCATCTAACTGCTTTTATATAACAAACAAGCCTGTGACTTCTGGGAGATTCATTTCCTGTAAAATTGGACAGTCGTTATGTAGCAGACTGGCTCTGTGTGTCTTGCCAAGGGGAATGACAGATGGACTAAAGGACCCACAGTGACCATCAGGTCACTTTTAAATGTAAGAAATAGAAAAAAAGAAGTCTGTTTGATTCTGTGCATAAAGGAGGAAAATGCTTTTATGGTAATAAAACCAGTAACCTTTCAGTTTCTTTACAAGAAACTAATGATTTTTAAATTTTAGCTTTAAAGCCTGAGCTCTTCATCTATCGAAGCAAGCGACAGAACACATTTGTTCCCAGCACAGGCAAAGGTGGAATTTGCTGACTCAGCTCACGAGAAAGACAAGAGAAGGTCACAGCGCCGCAGATTAAATATTCAGTTTATTTTCATAGCAAGAAGACAGATGCAGCATGCTTCATTCCCCACGGGACCTCAGTGCCTTTCTGTCACATTTATCTTTTTTGCTATGAAAACTAATAGTTAATCTGGTACAGCTGTGCTTCTCACTGCATTTTCCTCTCCTGCATTTTTTCCATAACTCGTTCTCAGTGGGATTGGATATATTTGTGCTGTTATATATGTGACTGCATCTAACATAGAGTCTTCATTTTTGGATCTTATATAATGAAGTTCCAGGATTGTTTTTTAATTATATATTTTTTTCCTTTCTCTTGGTTTGTACTTGATTGGAGATTTGTATTTACAGGATACCAAACTGCTTTAGACCTTGAAACTGAGGGCGTGTTGAAAAAGTGACCAGTTCTTTTTTTTTTTCCAGACTGTCCTTCAATGGGCTGTTTGAAGTATTTTGGGGGTGAGGTTCGAAGCTAATTTATGTTTGATCGGGGGACCAAATAATGCATTTTGCCAGTGAAGGTTCTCACAAAGATAAATGTGCCAAAAAAAAGTGTGTGTGCATTTGTGCATAAGATTGCACAAACCTCACCTCAGGCTTGCGTGCCTGTGCATAATGAAAGTCAAATAAGAAAAAAATGAAACTTTAATGACCCCGACTCCCTGCAGCCAAATGAGTTAATCACAAATACCCCTCCACACCAAGCACCACCCTTCCACATCCACTAACCTTGACGCAGAACTCGCTCAGCTCCCAGCGTTTGGGCTTGTGGCTCAGTATGACCTCCTCCAGCAGTGGGGGCTGGTCTGTCAGCGCCGACACTCCCATTAGACGATTGTAGAGTGCTGTTAGCTGCCTCTCCAGCCGGTAATCCTGCACGTACTGCAGGAACACCTCAGTCTCCTTCTTGGTGAAGTCTGACTGGGCCCTCACCTAAAACCAGAGGAGATGGAGTGCATCTAAAACCCAGTGGTTCGGGGCAATAATAAACTCTATACTTCAGTTTACTACAGGTCAAATTAAAAACATGGCATTTTCCTTTAATATGAAGCAATGTTAGTAAATAATCTGGACAAGGACACATAAAGCTTTTCCGGTTCTCACACTCAGCACCTTTTCTATCAATTTAGGTGTTTGCACTCACATTTGGCAGCTTTTAGCTGATGAAGAGTCTCATTATCTCTCATCCGTTCACTCCAAAAATAACCAGCCACCCAGAAAATGACAGTGGGTAAACGTTTCCATGAATTCATTTGCTGCCTGTGTTTTTGTTACCACCCCACCTTGCCACCCTATCCACCACCAGCACCAAATTCAAATACCTGTAAACTTATGACATAACCAAATGCCACACTTAGCCGCGGAAATAATTAAAGAGAAAAATAGAAGGCGTAAGCCTGTTAATACGAGTCAGTAGAAATGAGCAGATGCTTTAATCATACATCTGGTCCCATATTTTTACATAATACACTCACAGTGATGAATTCAAATGCAGTCCCAGTGTAAGCTTAGGGGTCTTTGTGCTTTACTTTTAAATATTTGTACTCTTCAGGCTTTATATATGCCAATTTATTGCCATAATACTGTTTTACATCCACCAGTGCTTCCAAGTCCTTCACCCTGTTTTCAGACAATTTGATAAAAAAGACACTTCCCAGGATTAATTTCACCTTAGAGAACTGACGGTGAAGCTAGCAATTGAAAATTTGGCCCAGGTTTTGATAAATAAACCTGCTTCCAGTCAGAATAGGGTCCAGAGGTTGGAAACTTCACATATATTAGACTATAGGCGTATGTAAGAAGTGTTTTGAGTAGAAAAGGAGAGCACAGGCAGGATTTCTTTTTAGCATTTTTTTTTATTTTCTTTGATTTTAATTGTGGATTATTCAGTCTGTGTATGGTTTTATGTTAATGTATTTATTTATTTGTCTGTCATGGGATCAGTGAATAAAGATAAAATGTTCACGTCCCAGAACTTGAGGCATGATGTTCCAGTTGCTCATTTTATCTGCATACCCATTAAATAATTATATAATAAAATTATCACCATTGCTAATGAAATACTTGCTTTTATAGTCTCTTTTCTAGACTTTGCATCATTTATTCAGCTATATTACACAACCTTGCACATAAAATTGTGTTTATGAGGTCGTAGAGTTTTCTCACCGCAGTGCCCAGCTGGTAGTACACCACAGCCAGGTCGTTCTCCAGCTGATGGACCTCCTGGTCCTTCAGCAGGCCGTAGCTCGTTGCTCCCAGCTCCTGGTCGATGTGGTCCAAGTTCTTCTTGGCCAGCTCAGTCTCCTCTTGTGTAGCACTGCCACCAAGATAGGAACAGATGCCCTGGACCAAGACCCTGTGCACAGCAAGTAAGTAAAGACACTCCTGGTTTAGCCCCCCCCCCAAAAAAGACAAAAAAACCGTTTGTATATAACAATAAGTTTGCATAGCTACAATGTGAATTATCATGTCAAAGAGGAACACCCACCTCACAGTCTGCATGTAGCCCACTGGCTCCAAAACCTTTCCAAACATCGCCATGGCTCCTGAGCTGTCCTCTGGAAGGTTATCTAAGGAGAAAATGAACAGTTGAGATTTAGAAATGATGGAAGTTGGTGTAAATCACTGTGACATTTACCAGATCAAAAATCCTCTGGTTCTTTTTACACCTCACCTCGCTTGTTTGGTGTGCAGGTTTGTGCTGACCTTCACAGTGCGCTATTTATATACAATCAGTGTATCTGATAAGCGCCTTCCACCTACAATACCTTTTTGAACTTGAGAGGAAGAAAAAAGTGATGCGTACAGATTAATGTAAAGCTAGATTAATATTTGTGAAATGCTGAGAGGTGCATGTTCACCTGTGCACATGTATTGCAGGTGTTATATTTTCACATAATACCTGTATAAATAGTACATGTCATTTTCCAATCGTTTAGTCCAGTGCAGATCCAGGCTGTGGAGACAAACACAAGATCCTCTATTCATCAGAGGTTTCCTGGGTTCAGTTTCTCTGGGTCTATACAGCTCCATCTCCTGGCTGCATGGTCTCAGTATTTAACCTTTTATCCGGGTTATTTCTGGGGCATGTGGAGCCAAACAATATTGACATCTCTTTAAAATGGAGGCAACTGAATGTGTTAATATAGACCTGGAGCATTATCTCACATTAAAGGAGGGGTCATCTTCTATTTATCCTGAAATATAGCATTGCAGACTATTCAAAATAACATATACTGTACAAAAAAGCGCATCTAATCTTTATACTTGCTACACATGATATCCTTCTCTGTTCCATTCTGTTTATTTGCACAGCATTTTGAATTGAATTCTCCAGAAACATCTTCTGATGTAGGTTGCATAAAAGGTCATGGAGTATTAAGACAAAAGCAACGTTGAAATGGAGTCAAGTCGATTAAACAATATAATAAATATTTCAGTGTCACAATGCCGAGCACGATATGAAGAAGTAACCACATACTCATGCCACTAAAATGCGCTGTCAAATAGAAAAATATCAAACGTTCGTCAGTTTTACCTTGTCTGTTAACACAGGGGGCGCGAATAAAACCCTTTGCACGTTAAACACTAAAACCCAAGAAGAAGAAGAAGAAGAAGAGGTCTCTTCCGCTTAATACCGGAAGAGGCGCCAAAATTGAAATTTAGTTCTTTCTGCCGACATAGAAACGATAAACAAACGGCCTTTGAAGGTCTGACGTCGGTTTCAGAGTAACTGAGTGCGCTTTTGCTCGTGTCGGACTTTTGCCTGAAAATGGACTCGACTACACAATTCTTCAGGAAGCTGAAAAAGCTGGCAGTGACTCTGGAATCTGAGACTGCCAAGCTCCAGCTCGCATTTGAAAACCGCAACAGCGACGACGACGAGAGCGGTGAGAAACACGCTGACACACAGGCTGCTTAAATCGCTTACAGTGAACTCATCGCACATATCTCAATATGAATTCTTTTCTATTTCAGAAAAGACAGCCAGAGCGATGCGAGCCTATCATGAACTGAACTGTGACGTAGGGAACCTGAAGGTAAAAGTTAGAACGTCTTTTTTTTTTTTTTAAATTGCATCTAAAGGTGGCGACATATACACAGGTTAGCGCGACAATGCAATATTTTATCAGCAGCTGCAACAAAGATCGTTAAATGCGTTATGTAAAATTAACCAAATGCATTCAAAAGTCCTGCACTCAAAATCTTACTTTAGGCAAACTTTGTATTTAACATATTAAAGGTAGAACTGTGGTGATGCACGATTATCTATTACACTTTTACATCCTTTATACTGTGGCTCCCAACTCAGAGACAGACCCTTTCAAAAGGCCAAGATAAATGTGGTTATTCTCTAATTATTGCCTTTCTTTTAAATACAGTTTGGCCTGCATCGTTATAAAAGCAAGTCTTGTCATTTGAAATGCCTGAGTGCACTTGTTCAGAAGGCATAAAAATTAAATTGCATTTCTGTGCTGTGTAACTGCGTACAAAACGCTATTGATTTTACCTACAAAATTACTACCCGTTATGTATTACTGCAGGTAAAACCATTTTGCTATTGTTGAACTCTCCACTGAAGTGAGAATAATATAAAGTCTTTAGCTGCCAAAGGTTTTCCACGTCTTTGACTTCTGTTAACTTGACGCTTATTTCAAGCATCATAAGGAATATCTGTGTGTCATTTATAAACCGATTATTCATAGCAATACCTTTATTGAAGACTAATATTGTAAATTGGTCGGGCGGTTCATTTTTGAATGGTGAGTGCTCATCACTTCTAGTCTCTTCTCGGGTAGGGACAGATCCAGGATGCCTTGGCTCAGCAGAAAGCAAAGAATAATGAGGCGAGCAGCTTCATTAAGGCGTGTAGAGTAATGGACCAGAAAGTCTTCAAGGACATTGAGAGGCTGAAGAGACACTGCGAGAACTATGGTTACCAAGCTCCCTGTGACACCCAGAGATCAACCAGTAAGTATTAACAATGGCAAAACGACTACATAACACTGGTAATCACGTGTAATGATTTCTTTTCACTTAAAAGAAAAGCGACATGCATTTATGGTTTTCTTATTGTGACTTTTTCTTGTATAGAGCCTAAAGATCAGGCGGAGGAGGCTAAAGATGAAGAAGCAGATGACGACTCAGTAGAAGAGGAAAATCAGGAGGAGGATGGAGGGAATCCTTCCTCAATGGCTCCAAAACCAGAGCTGCCCAACACTGATGTGCTGCGAACTCCACAGCTCTCTGATTTTGGTTTGTCTGAACTGCACCTAAGGAGAGTTCTGGCTGGGACTGAGTGGTGTTCAGAAGTTCCCCCAATGCCTGAGATGAACCTTCCTCAACCCTCACTCAAAGCATCTCTACCATCGCCCATGCCCATTACCCCCAAATGTAACCTGCGAATGGATGACTACGAACTCCAAACACCCCAGATGCACGACTTTGGCATCACAGAGCACACAATGTGTCTGAACAATGACTTCACCATGAATCTGTTCAAGAAGACTGAGAACCAACCAAGGTAGAGTGGTATGAACTATAATGACCCCTGTCGGCCACACTCAGGGTTTGTAGTGTTACTACTGCAGGTCCTTTAAGACTTTACTGTGTAAAACTGCTTTTTCCTGCTTTATGAGTCTCTTCTTGTTCAACAGACCATTACAGGACACAACTGAACCACCAGTGAACGGTTTAATAGACAGTTTGCAGACTAAAGGTATGAAACTGTCAACCTCATAGCTCTTCTTCACCCCACAATAGGTGACTGTCATCTACACTCATGGAAAAGAGAAAGTTTTCACAAAACTCTACGCTGTCCTGTTTAAAAACTAAGTACGCCCAATGATTCAGTACTTTGTAGACACGTCTAGACCCATAACTTGAAGTAATAACTTGAAGTAAATATACAGACAATAACTTGAAGTAATTGTCTGTATAACTTTATCAGTCTGTCAGTTTGTCCTGGAGAAATTTTGGCCCACTCTTCTTTACAACATCAAGTCTGTGGCCATTTATGCACCGCTCTCTTAAGGTCTGCACTTTGATTGTACCATTGTTACACATTGATTCTTTTCTTTGTCAGCCATTCTGTTGTTGATTTGCTGATATTCTTGGGATCGTTGTCCTCTTGCATGACCCAGTATCAGCCAAGCTTTGTCTGTCGGACAGATGGTCTCACATTTGATTCTAGAATCCTTTGGCATACAGAGAAATTCATGGTCGATGAATGACTTCAAGGTGTCCAGGACCTGTGTCTGCAAAACGATCCCAAATAACCACCCTGCCTGAATGCTATTTGATTAGCTGCTATTTAAGATCTTAGTTTCTGTGGAACGGTGTACTCACCTTTTCACAGGACTGAACAGAGTTCAGTGAAAACGTTTTTTTCACACAAATGTATAAAGTATACATCTTTAGTAAAGAAATCGGATGTCTTTACTATTCAGGAAACAAGATGTTTCTCTTCTTCAGTTGTCTTTTTCTTGCATGACTTTATCCAGCACTTAGTTTATGATCAGATGTTTCCCTTTGCATTTATTTTCATCTTACATTTTCTAAACAGTGTTTTTTCGAGTGTTATAAACTATTTAAAATATCTTACTATTTATTTATTAGTAAGTTGTAAGTAATCTTATGTCATGACATATTCTGATGCCTGTTAATTAAAAAGTGCATGTTTGAATATGGTTATGTTTTCATTGTCTTAAGTTTAATAATGATACAAAATCCCCAGCGTTTAGCCAGTGGAGACTACAAGTTTCCACATCACACTTGTGCAGATTTTTTCACTACTTGGATCTGAAAAAAAAAGTGTACTGAACATTTTGTTCAGCGAAATCTGACGTCCAAAAGAGAAATAAAAAAAACACTGACCAAAACGAGCTTTTCATAGAAAATGATCAGCTTTAAGTACTCGGGAACTACATTTGTTTTTATTAAACAGCTCAAGGCTTTGTCAGTGCACCATTTTTCTATCTGAAATGTTGCTTGTTTTTCAAAGATGCCACCTGAAGGTATTAAAAATTCTATACTATGTATTTAAAATACCTAGTATTTTGAAAAATAAAAGTAGCACATGTAGAGAAACGGCACCAGGCTGTTAAGAGAAAGCACTGCAGTGAAATGGTTCTAAATATCTTCCTGTGACATTGTTTTGATTACCTTCAGCTGAAAAGCTGGAATCACCAGAGCCGCCTGTGTTTTGTACCCCGGGATTCAAGATCAAAAAGACAAACGGTCACTCGTCTCCAACTGCACAAGGCACTGGTGTCCCAGAATTCCCCTGTCACCCTGGCAACCTACCTGCCACACCCGAAGTCCCAGCATTTCAAACGCCGTACGTGAACAGACTAGTCAGTACCAAAAAGGTAAGAAATAAAATGTAACTGTGTGTGTTTTTGTTTCTGACATTTTAATTTCACATCACCTTTTTAATTTTTTAGAGCACACAGCAGCCTGAGCCATCCGTTATGCAAACGGATAATGACACCCAGACCTTGGATCTTCCATCCCCACCTTGTAACAGGGCAGCTGGTTTCAAACGCACCTGGGAATATGATGTGCCCGATATATCCACCACGGGTTTAGAGGACAAGCAGTTGCCAGTGATGCCCAACCTAGAGTCTGCTTTGGGAAATTCTTTACAAAGCGTAAGACGAACAGGAAAGCATTTACTTTTAACCAGAGATCCTCACGGCTTTATGGCAAACAAAATGACAAGTCAGATGTAATACAGTGGGGCAAAAAAGTATTTAGTCAGCCACCGATTGTGCAAGTTCCCCCACTTAAAATGATGACAGAGGTCAGTAATTTGCACCAGAGGTACACTTCAACTGTGAGAGACAGAATGTGAAAAAAAAAAAAAAAAAAAAATCCATGAATCCACATGGTAGGATTTGTAGAGAATTTATTCGTAAATCAGGGTGGAAAATAAGTATTTGGTCAATAACAAAAATACAACTCAATACTTTGTAACATAACCTTTGTTGGCAATAACAGAGGTCAAACGTTTACTATAGGTCTTTACCAGGTTTGCACACACAGTAGCTGGTATTTTGGCCCATTCCTCCATGCAGATCTTCTCGAGAGCAGTGATGTTTTGGGGCTGTCGCCGAGCAACACGGACTTTCAACTCCCGCCACAGATTTTCTATGGGGTTGAGGTCTGGAGACTGGCTAGGCCACTCCAGGACTTTCAAATGCTTCTTACGGAGCCACTCCTTTGTTGCCCGGGCGGTGTGTTTTGGATCATTGTCGTGTTGGAAGACCCAGCCTCGTTTCATCTTCAAAGTTCTCACTGATGGAAGGAGGTTTTGGCTCAAAATCTCACGATACATGGCCCCATTCATTCTGTCCTTAACACGGATCAGTCGTCCTGTCCCCTTGGCAGAAAAACAGCCCCATAGCATGATGTTTCCACCCCCATGCTTCACAGTAGGTATGGTGTTCTTGGGATGCAACTCAGTATTCTTCTTCCTCCAAACACGACGAGTTGAGTTTATACCAAAAAGTTCTACTTTGGTTTCATCTGACCACATGACATTCTCCCAATCCTCTGCTGTATCATCCATGTGCTCTCTGGCAAACTTCAGACGGGCCTGGACATGCACTGGCTTCAGCAGCGGAACACGTCTGGCACTGCGGGATTTTATTCCCTGCCGTTGTAGTGTGTTACTGATGGTGACCTTTGTTACTTTGGTCCCAGCTCTCTGCAGGTCATTCACCAGGTCCCCCCGCGTGGTTCTGGGATCTTTGCTCACCGTTCTCATGATCATTTTGACCCCACGGGATGAGATCTTGCGTGGAGCCCTAGATCGAGGGAGATTATCAGTGGTCTTGTATGTCTTCCATTTTCTGATGATTGCTCCCACAGTTGATTTTTTTCACACCAAGCTGCTTGCCTATTGTAGATTCACTCTTCCCAGTCTGGTGCAGGTCTACAATACTTTTCCTGGTGTCCTTCGAAAGCTCTTTGGTCTTGGCCATGGCGGAGTTTGGCGTCTGACTGTTTGAGGCTGTGGACAGGTGTCTTTTATACAGATGATGAGTTCAAACAGGTGCCATTCATACAGGTAACGAGTGGGGGACAGAAAAGCTTCTTACAGAAGACGTTACAGGTCTGTGAGAGCCAGAGATTTTCCTTGTTTGAGGTGACCAAATACTTATTTTCCACCCTGATTTACGAATAAATTCTTTACAAATCCTACCATGTGGATTCATGGATTTTTTTTTTTCACATTCTGTCTCTCACAGTTGAAGTGTACCTCTGGTGCAAATTACTGACCTCTGTCATCATTTTAAGTGGGGGAACTTGCACAATCGGTGGCTGACTACATACTTTTTTGCCCCACTGTATGGCTAGATTTTATGAAAGGTTGGTTAAATAAAATGAACTGTAATCTCCAGAAGGGAAACTTCCTTCTTATAGTAACAGACTAATATAGCTTCTAAAAAAATGTTTTCAGTCCATCATAATATATCAAAATATTTTTTCACCACAAGAAATTTTTAAGAAAAAAGGTGTAATAAAAAAATTAAAAGCATCTTACTAGCAAACAAATTCTGTTGTTTTACATGAAGTCAAAAATGAGCTAAAATTGCTCATTTGATTTTCATTCCTGTGCACAGATGAGATTTATCAAAATGTGAATGAAACATGTTTAAAGGTCAAAGTTTTTCCTGTCATTTACAGAGCAATGGGAAAATCCTGAAGTTCAGCGAGAATGAAAAGGTGGCTAAGGAGCCCAATGTCAACAGCCTGGAGTTGGATGGACTCACCCAGGAGTTCAGCTTGGGGACACCTCGTATAAGAGCACACTACCAAGAGCCAACCACCCCGGAGATGCCAGACCTGAGCTCTGTCACACAGGACATCTGTAAAGTTAGTCTTGTTTAGTCCCATAAAAGCACTTTTGAAATCCATAGGTTTGCTGTTTGCAGATAAATTCATGTTCCTTGTTGACGTAAATGTTACATAACATTTATAATTTGTGAACTTTCCTCTCGTGCTCTTTCCTCCTATTTTGTAGCTTGTGTCCCAGGCTCAGTTGAAGAAGACAACAATGACAAATGAACACCCACCTGTCAAGCCTGACAAAAAGAAACACAGGTAGCCCGTTATAAAATAAGAAATATAGATATAGGTGGCAATATTTAATTCATGAACTCTAAATTAGTAGCTTTTATTGTGTGTCCATTCCAAAGTTGCAGATCAGGCTGGTGCTCGGTAGCAGAGAAGAATATTAATGTAAAATATTAGATATGAGATATCATTTGTATATATTTTTAATAAATGTTGAACTTTTGTGTTGCTTATTTCAGTCTCTCCTGATGAAATATGTGTTAATTTCTTTATTTCACTCAGTTTTATCCATTCTTACATGATGCGTGCCTGCAGTCTTTCTTTCAAAACTTTGATTGTGACGTGTCACCTTCCATCCATTCCTCTCCCAGATCTGCAAGTCTGCCTGAAGTGTCAGAGAACGAGTTCCAGAGTTTACCGAGCTACCTGAGGCAGATGAGCCTGAACAGCCTCAACCAAACGGTTCACAACATCAACAATTTCATGGCAGAGTATCAAGGTCAGTGTTATATTTGTGCACAGGGTCATGGATGAATGCAGCTCTTGTTTAAACAGCTCCGGTTATGGAGGATGGCTGCGCCCTCCATGACTCTGGTTCTACCGGAGGTTTCTTCCAGTTAAAAGGGAGTTTTTCCTTCCCACTGTTGCCAAGTGCTTCCTTATAGGGGGTCCTCTGATTGTTGGGGTTTTCTCTGTAATATTGCAGACCTTTACCTTCCAATATAAAATACCTAGAGGCAGCTATTGTGATTTGGTGCTATATTAATAAAACTGAATTGAATTGAATAGCTTTGTAACTGTAGTGGAGAAGAATGTAATCATACATTAATGTACTACAGGACACACCACAGTCAAGGTGCGTGAGAAACGGAGACTCTGACGCAGCAGTTTAAACTTCTCACTGAGGCAGTGGTGTTGATGTCGTGGTCAGTAGTTTAGAAAACACCTGTGATCTCACACACAGTGGTTTTCAGATTGGCTGCAAACTTGGAAAACAAATTATCTTGCTGGTTTGACTTTTGTTCAGTTGGATTTGATTACTGCAGTTACACTGGACTTCCACAGATTTCCTTTATTAAATCAGAGGAGCGCTTCCTGTTTTAAAAATAGCGTCCAGTAGTTTTCACGGTTATGCTGAAATCCTTCCCTGAATAAAGCTGTCATCCTCTGTTAGTTTGGACTGTTAATTAGCAGCAGAGGGTGCTATTTGCATAAGTAAACAACCAAATGGGAATGAACAGGTCTGTGCTGGCGATGTTTCCCTTGGTTACTCAATGGGAGATCATCTATAATCCACCCCGTTGTAGTTACAAACATGAGAGGTTAAAAAATGGTTTAATTGTTTAAAAAAACTGAGCTTCTAAAGTAACAAGAAATCTGGATTCACAGAAGCTGCTTTCGGCTGCTTCCTTGTCACAAGCGGGTGCCACAGCAGGTAGCGCTGCCTGTTTGATTTGGCAGTTTTACACCAGATGCCCTTCCTGACACAACCCCAATGAGAAATTAGGATTCATAAACCTGTCAAATTGTTCCTGATAGCAGCAAGAACTAGCTGTACTGTGTTAAACTTTTAGATTGCTTCAGACTGATTACACAATACCATCAGGGAAGCACCTGATCAGACTGAAATCTGAGGATTTGTCCCATTTTTAAAATCAAAGCGTGGGGACATCACATATAATATCTGTATACGACCAAGCCTGTCATCATATTTCATATTTTCCTGTCATATACATACTCTTACAATAGTAGATGCTCATTTTAAACACGACCAGAGTTTCAAATGATGTCGGTGATCCTTGTAAGCCCAAACGCTCAGGTTTCAAACTGCTGTCTTTTCACTTGTGTTTTTCTCATAAGAAAATATCCATTATATGCTCTTGTAAGGCGCACAGCTCTGTTTGTGAGGAGCATCCCATGAGAAGAAAGTTGGCTTAAAAGGAAGTGGCCTTGGGAAGGATGGTGGTGAAGGAGGGAAGCTAAAACTGCTCCTTTCACTGGATGAACTGTGGGGGCTGCACAAAGGGCCACATTCAGATAAACAGTTATTTAAAGCTGTGAATCATGCAAAGTTAACTTGATGTAGTCCAAAAATAAACATGTCAAGCTGGAAATGAGCATATTAGGTCCCAGCTGAATAGATCTACATCGTTTTCTCAAAGTACACACGGTCATATAATGGCTGTATCCACTGTTGTGCTTTCAGATAATTGTTTATACTCAGTGCTCAAGATAACAGTATGATATTTGGAAAGTAAACAAGAGATGTTTGTTATTTCTCTGATTGCAGATCTCTTGATTAAAATGTCTCAGGACATTTGCTACCAGCACCAGGCTGTTCATCTTTATTGTTAGCAGAACAGTCAGTTTGTTTCTTTGCCTGGTTTCATCAGTTTTACATTGATCTGGCTTCAGTGAGGTTTCAGCTACAAAATTACCATCATCAGTTACATAATTGGAATTGTATACCAAATAGATTTCCTCCAGTTTAAGCCCCCGAAACGTTTCAAAAAGCCAGATTTTTACAGACATGGTGTGTTTGTTATTTTAGCGGTATCCCAGCAAATCATCATGTGAACAAGCTCTCATTTCTCTAATCTGTCCCTTTTCTGTGGCGCCCTCTGCAGGAGAAACAACAGAGTTTCAGATGGAGAAGCTGAAGAAGATCATCAGTGTCGGAACCAAGGCCCCCGTATACATCCTCTGTCTCACAGAGCTCAAGAGACTGAAGCATGTGAGAGGAGACCGGAACACCTCTGTGTACAGACTGATCACACACATCTAAAGCTTGTCCATCCGTTGGCGAAAATCTATGTGATGTTAAGCACTTAAGCTGCAGGCAAAGATTATCTATCAAGTCAAACAGCAAAGAAAAACATACATTATGAGAAGAGTCCCAACAAATGAACTCAATCAGAGAAAGCAGCTATCCTTTATATTGTATATGGTTTGTGTTTTGATTGTAAATAGTACATGGACCTGTGAGTCAATAATTTGCATTTCCATGGTTGTATGAAATAAAATGGAAACTGGTTGTTTAGACAAGTAGTACAGATTCGTATAATACATAAAGATATATATTGAGACATTGTTGGATTAAAAAGGCTAAACTTTTATCAATAGCAAGCTCAGTCTTCTGCAGCGGGAGTATAACACATGACTTGCAGTAACCAATGGGTGTTAATAATTCAGCCACATGAATATGCATTGTCAAACTATAGATGGTTTATCCATCTACCACAGCTCACTTTTAATTGTCCTTACCCATTTGTATAAAGTTAAATAAAATAGCAAATGAGACTGTTAATCAGAAAATCCTGAACTTTTATTGCTCATTGCTGTGATGTGTTGCATGTGACTACTACTATCTTGATCTTTAACAAATTGGTAATTGGCTTTTCAAATATAACTAGTGAGTTTTATCTTTGTGCAGTCTAAACACACTTGTATTGAAATAAGCTACTGTATCACAGTTGTGTGCTGTGGATGAAAGCCAAGTACTGTACTCCAGTTTCAGAGCTGATTAACAGAGGGATCTAATAAGCTACAGGTATATTGCATCTGTTTTATACTGTCTGTGGTTGTTTCCAGTTGCTGTGGTTTGTTTTTTCCTTCGTCATGTTCATTTTCGAAAATTAAAAAAGAGCAAATTAACCATTTGTGTGATTTCGGGACATTAGCGTTTCTGCTTCTCGGCGTGAGTGAAGATCGCATTTCAATGACGTCGTCCCGAGATGGTCCAATCAGAGTGACGAAAGCTAACGGCCGTTGATGACGGAACTACAGTTTTTTTGTCGCCCTCTGGTAGACCACCATTTTGGGAGTCAAAACACCCAGCAAACTGCAGCGCACACTTCCACGCTTCTCCGTGGCCTTACTATGGTTCACACCTGTGTGGTGGCAGGCTGCAGGAACAGAAGGACACCAGGCACCACCTTATCTTTCTACCGTTTCCCACGGGACCCCGAGAGGAAGCAGCGCTGGATAGCTGCTGTGAACCGAGAGGGCTGGGTGCCGAACGACGGCAGTCGGCTCTGTAGTACTCACTTCATTTCAGGTATGAAGGCAAAACCACTCTGAACCCTAAAAGTGTCCCCCTGTGTGGTTTTTTTGTTTTGTTTTGTTTGTTTTTAAAGTAAACCAGTTCATACTGATGTTGCTAGGCTTCCACATAAACACTCGTGTCTAGAAAACCAAGGAGTTTGGTTTTTTTTTGCTGTCAGTGCAGTGTTGTGTTCAAAGGTTGCATGAAGTCAGGAGGGACAGTGGCATAGTCGGTGTAACTGCAGCGGGTAATAAACATGTTTAGGTTCACTATCACATAGTAAAAACCCTCACTGATTAAAATGACTGGAAAAAGGCGGTGTTTGTAGCTGTAAGCCTTTGAATATCTAAAAAATAGCTCTACGAAACTAAGTTCAGATGGAAATAAAATGTAGCATTACTGCAATTAATTCAGCTGGGATGGGTTATAAATTTTGTTTACTAAATATATGAAAGTAGATGCCGCTAATGGTACGTGGTATTTTAATGCTAGGTTTGTTTTGTTTTTATTGTCTGGTGTGTGCAATCTTTTTGTGTGCAAAGATTTTCATGCTTAAATTTTGTTTGTAGAGGAAAAATTAATTAGGGATGTACTGACTGAACAACAGCAACTGTTTGTTATTTTATGTATTGCACGCTACAAAATGAGAGAGCACTCTAAATCACAAGTATCATAAACAGATGAATTTGAATTAGATTCTTTTTTTTCACATGCAGGTAAACAGGTGAAGAATCCGCGCTCTCCGGATTATGTTCCTTCTGTGTTCACGGCGGCTCCCTTATGCCCAGAGATGAAGGAGCCGGGTGCCTTAGAGATCGTGGACAAACAGGAAGCACGGGTGGAGGCAGCCAATGCCTTGCTGTTCCTCCAGGGCCAGGGCATGTCTGCGGTGGATGAACAGGGCCAGGAAAAGCATCCTGAGGTGAAGGAACAGGAGACCACTGCAGAGGAGAGTGCCTCCTCCTCCCTCAGCACTGAAGATGATGATGATGACGATGACGACGAAGATGATGATGATGATAATGATGATCAGTCTGTGAGTGACAGCAAGAAAGGAAAGTTTGCCCAGACATCTGATGTCCCGGTGAACTTTGATGACATCTTGAAAGCCCTGAAGAGGGAGAATCAGGCCCTCAAGGAGTCTGTGGAGAAAATGTCTCTCTCAGAGAACTCCTTAAGGAATGATGCTGAGAAAGTGAAGTTTTACACTGGTTTACCCAACTACTTTGTCTTAGAGACAGTCATGTGGCTGCTGGCACCTCACATGGATGGAATGAAAAACGTCAAGCTCTCCAAGTTCCAGCAGCTGCTGCTGACACTAATGCGTCTCCGCCTGGACCTCCGCAATCAGGACTTGGCTTATCGCTTTGGCGTGAAAGTCGGCACAGTTACCAGAACAGTTCACCGGATGGTCAGCATCATGTCCTCTACTCTGGTGCCAACGGCTGTCTTTTGGCCCTCCAGAGCTGAGCTCCGTAAAAACCTGCCAGCTGCGCTGCGAGCCTCTCACCCTGACTGCGCCGTCATCATAGACTGTTTCACCGTGCCTTTCGAGGACCCGGTCTCTCAGGGGGCGGGGCCAAGTTATAACGTGTTTAAGTATCTGATTGGCGTGGCTCCACAAGGCGTGGTCACTTTTGTCTCTAGGGGTGTGCTGGGAAACGTCAGTGACAAGAGCCTGGCTGAGGGCTGTGGATTCTTGTGCAAGCTTCTCCCGGGCGATGTCGTACTGGCAAGCCGTGACCTGGACATCGGAGACTCCGTGGCAGCACGTGGAGCCTTGTTTAAAATTGCTGACAGCTACCAGGGAGAAGCATATGGGAGAACAGAGGGCTCATTGCTGGCTGATCCTTCCTCTGAGACAGTGAGCGTGCAGAGGCATGTGGAGAGGGTGATCTCTATGGTAAAGCAGCGGTACGCCATGCTCACGGGCCCTGTCGAGAGCGCCTTCACCGCAGCCTCTGAGCGCACGTCGAACCTCTCAACCTTTGATAAGATTGTGCAAGTTGCCTGTGCCTTAAACAACCTGTGCATCTCTGCTGCTCCACTCGAGTGATGTGTAGACAAACGCCTCGTGCTCCTTTAATGCTGATCAGGCTCTTCAGTTCCCTTTACTGCTTTGGACTGCACTTCTTGCTGTCCCTCTGTGTCTATGTGTCGACACTACATCATGACTACAGCAAATAGATCTATACTTTTCCACTATACTAACTTTCAATCTATGTCACTCCTTGTGATCTGGGTCAGTTTATACTTAGCAATAGGACCATTTCTCCAAACACAGAAACCACATTTCTGAGATGTGATGTCATTAAGTTATGCACCTCCCCTCACAAAGAATGGCTGACTTGCAAGAATTTATTTTGTTTAGGCTTTGGGTGAAAACTGAGTAAAACCCTTATGAAATATGTCTTTATTAGCTACTTGTAAATGCTGAAGTATACACACTGCAGTTTGGGTAATGCATTTCCACTGATCCCACATCTCTGACTGTTAAGTGTGTCTTCCCCATCCCTGACTGTAGTTACCAGATTACATCCATCTGCTGCAGAGAAGTGGCATGTTGCTTAAACCTTTTTTAATTTTTATTTATTTTTTTGTTGCTTCCCTGCATCTAAATCAGGAACTGTGCACATAGGAATATGCATAGAAAGAGGTTAAAATAACAGAAATGCCAGACAAAGTAGTACACCGTAGTACTCCTCGGCCACAGTGTCTCCTCTCTGTTCACAGTGCAGGGACAGAAATGTCCTGTGGTTTGTGAAGGAGTACTGGTTGTAAACTCATCGTTTTTGGCATAGTCACATTTTTGTAAGCCAGGTACTTTTTATAGCAAGAGTACAGTCAGCTGTGATGATTAGCTACAAGTTGGCAATTCGAGCACATCTTGGAATGGCAGATGTCTTCAATGTCTTCATCAGCAGTGATTTGCTGGTTTTGCAGGTTTAAAAAATAATAGTAATGATGATGTTGATGAACAGAAAATTAGACTTTAGCTTGAGCTGTATACAGTGATTAACAATGATGTCCTTTTTTACTGAGCCACGTGTTTAGGTAATTATTAATTTTCCCAAAGTAGTTAAAGCTCCTTATTTAATACAAAAATCTCAAAAGAATCATCTTTTGTGTTGGTGCAGAAGTAAACAGTATTGCTGACATGCTGTTGAGCCTGAAGAAACACATTGTTAGATGAGTACATCAGCTACATTTAACATGTGGATTCATTCTCACTGGTTTGTCCTCTCCTGTGGGAGACTGTGACAGGCTTTGGTCCATGAGCACGAGCCACAGCAGTAGTTATGATACAAGGCTGCGGGTTATTTCCAGAAAGGTTACCCAGCAACTGAAATTTTGATCTTTTTAAAGGGTTTGACCTTTCAGTAATGTAGACACACCAACTGAAAAGTTTCTACTGATATACAGTATATCTGCATTTTTTTTAATTTGAAGATAACCCCTCTGATTATTGAATTACATATTTTAGTAGTGCTGCTTTGCTGGTGCCTTAGTTTGTAAAGCTGTTCCAGATCAGCCCATATTTTCTACAGATATTTATTTTGACATCATGCACTATTCTTTGGACTTTTTCCTGGTTTGGTCCCTAAGCCAGATGTGCATGATGAGTCAGCATCTGTAGTCAACAAGGTCTAAATGTGTGTTCCCATTGTTTTGTTGTTTGTTTGTTTGTAAGGTACATCATTCTTGTGTGCTCAACCTTCTGCCAAAACTAATCTAAAGTCACTACACTTATACTTATGTTTTCTCCTAAGGTTTGAGGGGCTACAATACAATTGGCTCAGGGCCCAAAAATGAATTGGGAATGCTCCAATAACAAAGACTACACTTAAGTTCAGGTGCTGGGCTTTAACAGGTGATGCTTCATAATCGGTGTTAGGTTCAGAATGTGCCTTCTGTTCTCAGACCCCTGGATATCCCAGACAACAGATGCTTGTCTGTCTTTTCTGACTGGTCATGTTTTGGTTGACACTGTATTGCTCTGGGGCTTCCATAAGGACATCTAGCCACAGTATTTAGTCCACTTGCCTGCTTTTCTCCCCTTCAATTAGCCATGGTGTTTGGCACTGCTGATGCTCTAAACAAACTATAAAATTCAAGTTAATTAGCAGTACTATGGGTTGATATATTTCTTCAGCAGTGCATGTACTTTGGATGAACACATGCTTCATTTTTTTTATTTTTTTTTATTAAGTCTTTGACTGAGTAGACTGTATCTGCAGACCTTGCTTGCTCTTTTATGGAGGGAGCGAAAAGCCCCCTTTTTTGACTGATTAAAATAGTCTTACAGGCTGGTTTAAATGGTGTTTGCCCGTTCCTAAGGTAGTGAGTGGCGCTGGAGGACTGTTATCAAGCAAGGCCAAATACCAGTATTAATAGTAGTTAAAAGGCTTTGTGAAATGACTGTTGGTTTATTCTGTCTGTATTTAGTTCTTACATGCATAAGAACAAAGTCAATACTTCCTATTTGATGTTTTTTCTGCTCTAAAATAAAAGAGCTTCTAGGTTGACATGTATGAAAGAAGTTTATAAACTCATGTTCTCACACTACATTGCTGTTTGACATTATTGTTACGGACGCATGTGCTTCCATGATGTGTAAACTCCTGAAGGTTTCCTGTTTAGTTTCTCTTTTAATATAGCTCCTGTGACTGAAAAAATAAAGTTGTGGAATTGCATCAGCTTACCCAGTACCCAAGAGTCGCCGTTATGTTATTCTGTGTGTACGTGTAAAATATTGAAGCTCTGTGCTGTACGTGTTGTCCTGTGATAACTGACATTATTATAACGTTTTATTTGCTTTCACACTGAGTCATTGGTAAAAACTATTTCCAAGGCCGGAGAGGGGTGACTGAGTAATGTAATGTGCAGATATACTTTATTTATCAAAGGGAAAAATGCTTGGAGGAAGCTCCGCCTGTGAATATTTCAGAGGAAGGAAATCAAGACGTCTCACTCCGTTGCTTTTTGCAGTCACTGCAGCGGTGAAAACCACAGCTCGTTACTACTCGCTATTGCACTGACAGCGTAAACTACAACCCCGCAGTTCTGTTTCTATACTTAACTCGTTATTAAAATCAAAAGTAAAACTTACTGATGCACTTCAACAAAAAAAGATTTGTACGACGCCGAATACACAAAAACATTTTTAATTTTAATTTGTTCGCAAACGGTAATAGCACCTAGCTAACAACGTGAACGGAGTGAACGGCAGTTGCCTAATAGACGATCTTCAGGTCCGCTGACGTGCGTTGGTCCGTCACGTGACCTGAGGAATGTTAACAATGCAGCGAGTGTCCAACTTTGTGCTGAAGTTCTGATCCTGCCTGGAGTTTGGGGAGAAAATGGAGGCTCATTTCATCATATTTACCCACTGAGCTAGGTGTACGCGTTCGACAACCGAGAACCGGACTCTTTAACGAAAAAAAAAGTTGCCGTTTAACGGAATTTATTCTCTTCATATTGAGTTATTCTCGCCACTTCTATCACATGGTAAGTTGAGAGTTGCTTTTTTTGGGAGGGGAGTGGTGGTGGTGTGCCTTATTTCCACGACTTGTTGCTGAGCAAAACGTTCCGTTATGGGTGTGTTATATAGCGAGGCTTATGGAAAACGAAATTGAAGTTTCTGTATGTTTGAGCCTCTTTGGAGCTTACAGGACTGCCTCCATTTTTTCTCTCTCCCTGCATTGGAATGTGTTGCTGCTCTCAGCCCCCAACTCAAGCCTGGGATATTGCTGAGAAGGCCCCAGCGCTTTAAAACAGGGCTCTCCGGACCTTTATGCCTATACAAATATCACTGTACGCTAGTTTTAAAGCTTTGGTGCAAATGTGGGAATTCAATTTAAGGGTTTAGTCTATGTTTAAATGTTTGTTTATTTGTGTACATTTAAAGTAACTGCATCTTATTTGGGCATCCTAACTTGTGCCTCTTCTGAGGATCACTAACAGTAACAGAAGCTATGCTTTGTAGATGCTGTTAGTCAGAAGATCCTGCATTCATTTCACTGTTTAAAGTGAGCGAACAGATTCATAGTTAATAAGAACTGAGCTTAATAAAATAATTCATAACAGGTCAGAATATTTTTTTATATTGTATCTGAAAATGAAAATGGAGTCATCTGATTTGATTCTGTCATTTTCACTTCTCTCAGGGCCTGCATAGTTTGGCCCTGATGCAACAGTGCGTTTCATTCAGGTGTACTGGTACCACACTACTATCCACAAAACACACTCACACACACTCTTTCTTTCTGCTTGACACACTTCTGTCTGTCCAGACAGTCCAGCGCTTTGATTAGTTCAGCAGTGACAGCAGACCTGGGTGATGCAAACCAAAGTCACATGTTTTAAATGGACGCTTGATGTTCATGCCTGTCTGTGTCCTGTAACAGGGGGGTCACATTTTCAGACAGTCGGACCAGTTTCACTCAGACTAGGGTGGCGCAGCAGTGTGGTGTCATGCACGTCAGAGGTATCTGTCAAAAAGGAACCACTGGGATACAAACAGATGCTTTGGTGGTGATGTTGTCAACACAGTGGATTGTAAGAAGTATGCAGGGATTATTACATGTTATTACTACTACCATATTTGTTTTAAAGGGACAAATGTACAAAAGTGGGCTACATGCACACAAAAACAATATAGATGGGTAGATGACTCGAAAGGCTACAGGGAAAACATATCGGTTTGATTTTGGGGTTGAGCTGCAGTACATCAGATACACACAGAAAGAGCCAAATTGTTTCCCTCTTATATACACACACTTGCACTCTCACAGCTGCAGCCGGTTTCCATCAACTGTTGTCCCTGCCTGCACATTTGTGATGTGTCCTGCAATGTTAACTGAGTTGGTCCCACCCACCTCTACCCCCTGTCTTACTCCACCCAAAGCTTAGTTGTTGGCCAGCTTTGCCCATTAGGAAGTTGTGTTCTTTCCTCCACCTCCGCCTCCTCTTGCTTCGTAATTTCCTAAACACAGCAGAGATATGACCGTCCACATTCTCTCAGATCCATCAGGCAGGTTAGAGGCAATCTTATTAATATTAACCTGCCAGCTGCTCGCGTTGCTCAGTATTCTGTGGGGTCCAAGATTGCAGAATGCATGCTTTCCCAATTTAGCATCACAGTGGGCAGCTTTGTTTTTGGTGAGACCAAAAAGAAAGCTGTGGTATAGTGTGCTAAAGTTTGTTATGAACAACACATGTCCACGAAGACATAACCTGAAACATGCGTTTAAAGTGTCACATGTGCCATTAAAAGGCAAAAAGTCCAAAAGCATGAAGTTTAAGTCATCTTAGGTTTAGGGTTAGGTCAAAGGAGGAGTAAGGTTCAGTGATGGGGGTGGTTATGTGTAGAGCATTGTTTTGGGCAGAGTCATGTCTTTTTTTTTTTCTTACAGATTTGTAGTTATAGACAGATACTGTCCGTGTAGTTTGTGTTTTGGGTTATTTTGGTCAGCGTACTGCCCCGTGATTGAGCTGCGGTATTTTACTTGTACTTACTTGTGGAAAGGAATGCTCATTGCTTGGACACGACGCCTGAAGCATCGCAGGAATGGAGGCAAGAGATCTCGGAGATGGGGCAACATTTATGGAGCTTGGCCCCATGTTACCCCACCACCCAGCAGTGTAAAAAGAAAAAGCATGTTTTTGTCTATGCAAAGTTTGATCTGTACAAACAGTGAAGGCTGTGTCCTCCTTAAATGGCCCAAAGGGATGGAGACTGCTAGAGAGGAGGAGCAGGAGGAGGAGGAGATTGGGGATGCAGTTCAAGAGCTTTTAATGTTTGGAAGCTTTTTCCTCTGCAGCTGCTTGGTAGTAATGCTGAGGGATGTAAGATTAAGATAATATTGTTAAGAATGTATTTTTAATTATCTAAATATAGAATATCACAGCACTGGGTGGATTGTGTTTGGCATTGCCTAAGACCAAAACTTGACTTGTAAATTTTAGTTTTGGTGTGTTTTCTTTTGAAGGTATTCTTTTGTACCTCCACACAGACACACGGGAGTCTCTGGGATAGTGTAAGAATTCAGTATGATGCATCACCATCGCTTCAAAGTTTTCAGACTATATTACTTTATCAGTGAATCAAAGCTGTGGCACGTTTGAAACTGATGGAAACATCTGGATGTTTAATTTGGTATCTGCAAACACTTTCTTTAAATTGAAGTCATTTGCTGCTTTAAAAGATCTCTGTTGGCAGCTATAGTAAGTACAAAAAGAAGTTGTGGTCATGATATCTCAGAGACAAATGTTAATGGTGTTTGAGGAGGAAAAAATTAGAATCCACCCGATGCTCAACTGGCTACTTTAAGACATTCAATAAAAAATTTTAGGTTGTTAAAAAAGATGTATGCCATCGAAATACTCCCTCAAGTTTTATACATGAATGTTAGTTATATAAAAATTGGAACATTTGGGGTTGGGGGGTGGGAATGAAATGCTCTGGGAATACTACCGCGATCCTGAGATAACATCAGCCGGGGAAACTTGTAGTAAATCAGCTCAACCAGAAAACTCCAAAAATCCAATACTGCACATACTTCGCTATCTGCTCTGTGCTAATTGAGAACAAACACGCGACTCAGTCATGAGTAAAAATAGGACGTAACCTTCTTGAATCTACAAAATAAAAAAAATAGGTGGCTGCCTGGTAATTGTGGATTGTTTCACATTCTGTGGCTGGTTTTAAATAAACACATGTATATAATAATAATAGTAATAACTCATTTTGATAACTTTTCATCTTACTAGATATTGACATGGAACCATATTGAAAAACTCTTGAAATGTATCATTGTTTAATATTGAGGGCAGCTGTGGCTACAACTGTAGCTGCCTCCACCAGTGTGTGAATGTGTGTGTGAATGGGTGGATGACTGGGTGTGTAAAGCGCTTTGGGGTCCCTAGGGGGGACTAGTAAAAGAGCTATACAAATACAGGCCATTTACCATTTGACATCATTTAATCTGAACTTAAATTTGAGGGTAGAATTGTGACGTCTCTGATTTGTCCGTTAGAATAAAAAGCAATTTTGTCGCCCTTTTTTTTTTTTTGTTAAATTTGAATTTGAAGTAGTTGTGCGGCTAGCATAATGATTCACATTTAGAAAGCACACAAACAGCAGCTCTTCTCGTGATGTAATGTTGTTACGAGCTCATAATAACTCACCAACAGTGACACGTTCGGCTCTGTGTCCGTGTCTGTTGACTGTAATAGTACGATGACCTGCTGATCTCCTTGGTCTGTGGCAGGAGAAATAATCACTGGTCTTGGTCAGACTGCTGCAGAAAGTCGCTTTTTCCCCCTCTCAATCCATCATGCTGTACGTTATTTAATGAAAGCCCTTAGGTATTTGTTAATACGTAAGCATGTGGTGAACATAACTCATTCGTTGTTTATGCACATAGACAGGAAGGTTGTTTGCAGCTTCTCTTCAGGTCTGTGTAGATCAAGTACAGAAAATGTTCTCATTGACAAAATAACTATTTTATTTAGGCAAAGAGGAAAATTGCCCATAAGTAATTTTTCCTTTTCAGGATAATTGTCAGGTGTAATTCAATACCTGCCAAGAAGACTTTTTGAAATAGAACCCAATCAATTGAAAGATGTTTGCTTCACAAAATGGTTGGAATTGCAGACATGAGTTGAAAACCACAGCCATGTCGAAACCTGCCAGAAGAG